AGAGAGAGAGAGAGAGAGAGAGAGAGAGAGAGAGAGAGAGAGAGAGAAAGGAAGAAAGAAAGAAAGGAATCAAGCTTGGTTTTCCAGAATGAGGCTAGTGATTGACAGTGTCAACTAGTGATTGACAGCAGTGGTGCGTTAGAAGTTGAAGACTGTATTGCATGTCTTATAAAAACGCTTAATTGCCTTTAATTTTGCAGAAACCTCATAGTCTCTTTCAATAGGCTGTCTGCCTTTCAGGGTGGAATGCATGATTGTGGCTAACGATGCCACCGTCAAAGGAGGCACCTACTACCCAGTGACTGTGAAGAAGCACGTACGGGCACAAGAGATCGCACTGCAGAACAGGCTCCCGTGCATCTATCTGGGCAAGTCACAAGTGTGCCGTGAACGGTTTTAGCGGGTAACGTAGAAGACTGTGTGGAAGGCTGTGGATGCCGCTGTTCCTGGTGTTTGAAAATGCTGCTAGTTCCTCCTGTAGTTAGAAAGAGCTACAGTGTTTGCTAAGAACTGCTGCGAAGGGTTATTAAGAGCTGTCCATTAGTACCACACTGGGACATTAACAGTTCGATGTGTGCTAGCTTTTCCTCCGGATGTTTTATTTTTCTGTTAACTATAATTAATTCAATCTATTTAAAAAGCTAATATTTATGGATCCCTCCAGAGTCTGACACTGTATTACATACTTTGGTATTACATAATTTGAATAGATTGTAATTTAAGGTACAGTGAATTTCCAGAGAGAGTCAATCTTCATTTGAAAATTAAATACATTTGCATTAAAGGCTGTTTTGAATAGAATCTAAAAGCAATGAAATTTAAAATTGGCACCGTCTGGGTACTGGCTTAGTCTGCCAAAACTCTAGCACATACTGTTCATTTATAAATGTGTAAATATTTGAATAGGTCATAATATAGATTATTTTTCTTTTTTTCTGGGAAAGTGAATTTACCTGGTTGGCTCATAAGGTGAATTTCTTTGCACACAGAGAAAATAGAAAATGAAACTGCTTGCAGGCGCCTGCTGGTCTCTACAGAGACAGATACACTGAAGTGCATTAGCATTGCTTCTGTCTTCAAGGAGAGCATATTTAATGGGAGACAGAATGCAAAGTATTAAATAATAAAAGACAATGATTATAGGCAACAATAACAATAGGCGTAGGACTAGTTAACTTCTAATTCTTCTTCTCTCTCTCTCTCTCTCTCTCTCTCTCTCTCTCTCTCTCTCTCTCTCCTTCTTTCTTGACACATAGTCTAGGTAGCCTTGGCTAGCTTGGAACTGACAGAGATCTCTCAGGCCTCTGCCTCCCGAGTTCTAGGATTAAAGACAACATCACACCCAGCTCTAAGTTTTCTTTTTAACATTTGTTCTGTACACTCAGAGTAGACGCTTGACTCAAGACTTTTTACATGCATGATTTCATGTCCTCCTGAGAGCTATCTGAAATGGCTACTATTGTTTATTTCATGGCTAAGGAAGTTAGAGGTGATCAGGATGGCCTAGAAGCACGTCTTTGATCTCATAATCACACAGCTATGAATTAATGAGCTCTGGTTTGAGACAGAAGTCTCCTTGTGTAGCCCAAATTGGCTTCACATGCCTGTTCATCCCAAGTGGTGCCGGGCACCGTCGTACCTCACTACGATCGGTAGTAAAACTAATCTCAGTACTTAGGAAGCTGGTGCAGGAGGATCATAGTTTGAGCCATAGAGCTAAACCACTCAAAAAAACAAACAAACAAATAAACAAACAAACTCAAAGCCCAAACAAATAAAAAACACAATAGAAACAGTGCAAGAAAGCAACATACAAATTATCCATAATCTTTTAATGATTTTTGTATTGATGTAGGAAGATGTGTTTTCAGTTCTGCTGGTAAATTCTTAGAATTTGTAGGTCTTTTGCTACTTTTTAAGGGACAAAGTTTCCTGAGCTGTTCATACGGAGCTTTGAACAAAGGTTGGGAAGCCTAACAGTCTGAGAGGAAACCTGGTTGTATTGGGGGATTCGAGATTCTAGAACACATCAAAGAGAGGGGGCAGGCTTTGGTGACTGCGGTTAAGACCTAACTACAAAGGGAAGGGGCAGGCTTTGGTGACTAGCACTGTGGCTGTTTGTCCAGTGTTCTCACTTTTCATATTTTCCTTATTCAGTTGACTCAGGAGGGGCCAATTTACCTCGGCAAGCAGACACCTTTCCAGACAGGGACCACTTTGGCCGCATATTCTATAATCAAGCAATTATGTCTTCTAAAAATATCACACAGGTAATTTCTCATTGGTGAAATATAGTTTATACTTTTGTTTGTTTGTTTAAAATTTCAACTGTCATTACTACCACCTAATCCAGATGAATTAAAAGAAAATAAAGGAACAGAATTTGGTCAGATGAAATGGCTCAGAGAAATGGAGTCTTAACACCAAGCCCAGCAACATGAGTGCAAGCCTGAGAACCTGGCATGAAACCATAGCTCTTGCTGCACACAAAATAAGTAAAGAAATGTAATAAAAAAATTTCAAAAAACCAGAACTTATTATATAACGTAAGAAAGTTTTGTAAGGTTGTCTTCAGTTCGAACTTATACTAACTGCAGGCATGTTCTTGAATTACAATGAATGTTAATTATCCAAGGAAAAGAGGCTTGAAAAGGGAGTTATTTTTTAGGATTGATCTATTAGAAAACAGTACAGAGAAAACAGTGTATGGGCAAAGAGATACACAGAGGTAAGTCCATATCAACATTGATTACTAGAGCAAAAGACACTTAACTCATGGGTGTCAATAGAAGATTTATAATGTGTTTAGCTGTTAAAGCCAAAGAACTAAAATCCATGCATCAGCATGAATAGACGTCAAAGCTGTGTTGAGAAGAATCAGTAGATAAATGTAGAGCCAGTACCAATGCGTGTGACAGTTGGGTGCATGAAACCTCCCTGTGTCGTGCTTGTGTGTAAGCCTGCATTGGAGAATGTCACACACAACTGTGAACAGTGTGGGCGCTCAGGAGGGAAGGAGGAAAAGGGGGTCATTCGAGAGGAATGTGGGGACTTAGGTTGTATCTGAAATATTTTTATTGAATGGAAATTCTCAGAGTGTGTGAATGCAAACCCTTTATAAAGGATCTTGCTATGTGTAATCGCATTAAGGACTGTGAGATGAATCGAGATGGTTCTAGATCCCCTGGGTGGGGCTGGAAACTGATGGTAAGTGTCCTATTGGGACAGAGTAGACATAGGTATCCAGAGAAGGCAGCCAACTGACTCCACAAGCTGTCCTCTGACTTTGGTATGCACACACAGTCTGTTCTGGATTACAGCCTCCTCAAGGGTGGCCAGAGACCAGTGTTTTCATTCCTGACCCTCACTCCCTCCTCTTTAAACCTTCCGCCCCAGAGACCTCTCACTCTGCATAGCTTCTTCATGTCACCCAGTATTTTCATTCCTGACCTTCCCTCCTCTTTAACCCTTCCCGCCCCAGAGACCTCTCACTCTGCATAGCTTCTTTATGTCACCCTTTGTTCTTTTCCAAAACCTTCAGCTTCACACCGAGTTCTTTTATTCTCCCCACATTTTTAAAATTATTTCCCCAATCCCACCAAGAACTTGAATACAATTTCAAGTCATTGCTTGTCACCTCGTGTGGGCCCTTGGCCTACTACATCTCTGCCTCTAAACCTCAGGGGTGCTGCTGTCTCTGTAGGTTTTCTGCTAATGTCTTGGTGTAAAACAGAAATGTGTGTGTGGTTTCTGCCCTTGGTTCCTAGTTTGGTCTCTGTCCTGTTCCTAAGACAGAACTCCTAAGACCTTTGTAGATAAGGGTGCCAGGAACATTTTTTGTTTTAATGTTTGGTCTTTGATTCCCGGTGCAAAGCTCCTAAATCTCTCAGGTCCTTCCTCATCCCCTCCTCACCCCCAGAATCTTGTGGAAGAGATGACCCCTCATACCTGCACAATGAAGCCGCTATACAGCCCCCTCCTGCAAATGCCTATGGTACTTTCAAGATCTTCCCACTTATTAAACACATCTGAGTGCTGAGAGGATGGCAGCTCCATAGAGACAGAGGCACTTGAGACCCTTTCTGGCCCTGCCTGTGTGCCACCATCTAGCTGTTTTCTGTGGCCTTTATTAATTAGCCAGCATGCAAAAGTATGGCATTTGCTTGAGTTCTGTGGGCCGTTCTAGCACATTAAATGCAAGGAGAGGGAGTGGTGGGAGCTCCAGCCTATCCTTAGGTAGCCAGAAGCTCCTGCCTCTGCCTGACTGGCATTTAAATCGAGAACAGTCTGGCAGAACCTAGTTCCATCTCCAGATAGTGTCAAGCTGAACTGGGTAAGGGGACCCCCAGCTGGTGTCCAGGGTTACTGATTCCTTGGTGTGGTGAGAATTCTCTCCCTCATCTAATGTCAGCAGTGTTCAGTGATTATAGGAGACAGCAGGAGAAACAGTTTTCTAGGCTCTCTTGGCTCAACCAGACCTGAGCACATGGCTACCCCTGCTTGTCTATTTGGTGCTAGCCTCGGATTCTTTTATGTGCATGTGTGAGTGCCTGCATGGATCTATGTGCTGGTGGAGGCTCGACAGGGGTGACAGATCCTGGGGAACTAGAATTACAGGTGGTTATGAGTTGCCACATGAGTGCCAGGACCCGAACATAGGTTCTCCTCTCGAGCAGCGTGTGCTCTTATCCATGGAGCCATATTTCAAATTCCAATCTCTCTTCTCATGGGGTTGATGCTTTGATGTCAAGAAACAAGAAACCTTGATCCTTTGCTTTTCCCCTCACTTTTTAAAGTCAGAAATATTTATCTATTTTGTTCTTTGAATCTCCATCAGCTATTCTTAATTCTTCTCTCTAGATAGGTTCTGGTTGATTTCTCATTTTTTATTATTGTTTCTTTGTCATTAGAGCAATATCAGATGAATTTTTATATCTTCACAAATTACCCTGAGATGGGAGATGCTAATATTTATTAGTAGTTGACCTCTTGTAATTGTTAAAGCAAATGCTAACATGTTGATAGGTTCCTCTCTCTCTTTCTCACCGCCCCCCCCACACCCTCTTCCCGTCTCTTTCTATTGCACTTTTCCCAGGTTCTCATGTTACACCACTGAGCCCAGCCCCAGCTCCCTTCTTATAGTTTGTTGCTTAAAATAGTGCCTTAAAGTATTTTTAAAAACCTTTAATAATTTATTATGTACGTCAACCAATGCTATGCTTTGGATAAGGCTCGCCCCCTAAATGACTTTTGCTGGAAGCCTAGTCTTCAAAGGGACAGTGTTACGATGGGAAGTCTTGAAGGGGAGGGCCTAGTGCAAGGTGGGTCGTCATGGAGCACTACCCTCAAAGTGGATTAGTGCAGGATTTTTGGAGTGGGTTGATTCCTTCGAGAATGGATTTTATATTATTAAAGTATAAAAGTGGTCTCTCTGGTGTCGCATATCCTGTCTTGTCATGTGACCTCTTTTTCCTGTCACATGTTTCTGCCATGATGCCACTTGACATATTGTGATGTAGTTAGAAAATCTTCATCAGAGACCGAATAGGTGGAGTTGCGTGTATTTAACCTTCTAAAACCTTGAATCAAATAAACCATTTTTTTTCTGTGTAAAATATTCAGTCTCAGGTATTGTATTATAACAACACAGAGCAGACTAAGATATAGCTCTGGTTTTGTTATTTTATGCATTTAACAATGATCAGTGGGTACCTCACTCCAATTTTATTTTCTATTCTAAGATTGCTTTTTATTTAACATTATTAACCTCACCCATTGTAGATCTGTTTATCCAATTATCTCTAAAAATATATCTCTTACATTCTTATCCACCTCATTTCCTGTATAGTCTCAGATATAAAAATAATATTGATAGATAACTAGACCTTTCAGGTTTAACATTTGACTTTTGTTTCATAAGAAAAGAGACTTTTTTTTAGGTCAGAATATTTATCATTTTGTTCTTTGAGTCTCCAGCAGCTATTTTTAGCTCTTCTCTCTAGGTAGGTCCTGGCTGATTTCTCATACTTAATTGTTGGTTCTTTGTGACTAGAGAAATATCAGATGAATATTTCACATATTTCCCTGAAATGAGGCATGTTAATATTGTTAAAAGATGATCTCCTGTAACTTTTAAAGCAAATGCCAGCACACTGACAGGCTGCAGTAGTCTCTTGTTTCCTTACTGTGTGGTGAGCTGTGCCCCCCCACCCCTGCACCCCTTGGAGTTGAGATACCTCAGAGGTTGGGATCTTTCTGAGCTCCTGCCCTGAAGCTGCTGTGTGGCCTGTGCACACTCAGGCGACCCCTGCTGGTCCTTGTCAGCTGCTGTTTTCCCGTTGCCAGCTCCTTATGTATGGGGTTTATAATTTTTAGCAGAAGATTCACTCTCCTGTTAGTTTTGACTGCCAGCCAGCCGTAGTAGTCTGCTCGCTACATAGCTTGATCTTTGGTGTAGAAACACTCTGCTTTTTCCCTACGCCGGTACGTCAGCAGTTTTCATTAGCCTTCCTTTTCTACTGGAATCGGCTTCATCTAATGAGTGGTGTAAAAGTGCAGTTTCTCGGGCCTCTCATTTTTTCCCCTTTGTGGTTTTCCCTGTTTTCTCTAAATTCTGGAGATTTTTAGATGATTATCAGGGTTCCCTCTCTCATATGTTACCTCCCCCCTCTTTTCCTTGGTTTAGCTCATTATTTTTGAAGGTTACTTCAGTGACTACCTTTGTTTCAAGCATCTCAGATCATTCTGAGGGGCTTAAAGAGGCAGATCCTGTTATTTTAAAAATGCATTCTATAATGGCCAGTAGAGCCTGGGAGTGGGAGGTGTGGTGGAGATGAAAGCAATGTATTTGGTTGCATTGGGGCTCGCTAAACTGAGGCTCTGATAAAAAGATTAAGGAAGAGGCATTGTGGGTAAGATGGACTTGTGGCATTCTGTGTACAGTTCATACCTGTTGGCACAGGTGGGCATGAGTATCTCGGAGTTAGCAGAATGTTGATCTGTCAGTGTAGGTGACAATTCATCTGGCATGTGTACCTTGTGTCTTTTATTTGCAGGCCAGAAGAGGGCATCAGATCCCTTATAAATGGTCATGAGCTACCATGTGAGTCCTGGGAATTGAACTCAGGACCTCTGGTAGAGCTGTCGCTGCAGCCTCAGTGACTTTTATTTTTAATGGTGGCTCTTCGGCTAAAGATGAGAACAATGTGATACAGACAGTATTTTCTTTTCACAATTACTTTGAATGCAAAAGGCAGCAAGATGGGAAGCT